TCTATGTTGCAGAGAATTCAGCGAGATCAATTAGTGGAGAGTCTGTCTGGTGCTGAGGGCTTTGACCAAGTAGCGACTGACGACAACTTCTTGGTGTGTGAGAGGGCCATTAAACAAGTACGTTCCGCAATAATTTTAAAGAAATCCTCCATTTTGCATTTCTGAAAATTACAGCCAAAGCAAATGTTGTATATTAAGCCTTTAACAGGTGCGATTTTGTCTGAAATCAGACCTTTTGAATCTGAGAGAAAGACATTACCGGTCTCGAAAGGAATGCATCTTTCAGAGGCAATCTCATCCCTGTCTTTATCCCAATGCTGGTTGTCCATCAGTTGGGTCACCTCCAGCGAGTCTGAACCGACATCCTCCCCAGTAACATCTTCACCAAGGCCGTGTCTACACTCATCAACATGGTACTCATGCACATCGTGGAGAAAGTCTCGTCACTTGAGGTGAGAAGATCCCTAAAGTGTTTGACTGTTTCATGCACGTATGTCGTAAAGAACACACAACTGATTGAATTCTGTGCAAACCTCAGGCGTCTTGGCATGGGCGTCAGGCGCCGTTGGCAATGCATTAGATTGTCCCTCCCAGTGGTCTCCCTGAACTCTCCTTTTGAAAGTGTGGAGGTGGTACTTGTGCATGGAGTGCATAGGCTGCCAACAAATTCCTAACTCAGCATGTCTTAGGGACTATTGTTAAGCTGTGGCAGGAGCTTCTACATGTCACTTGGTGGTCAGTTGGTCAGTCTGTCTGTCTGTCCCCAAAAATTGACCAAAAATCTTTGACCAAAAATTGACAAAATGCCATGCCGTTGTCAGTAAATGCACTCTAGACGAAAGTTATCGGAAAATGAGGTTTGTCTCGATCGATGCGTATGCGCATCTATTTTGCATATGTCTGTCCTCGGAAAATTGAGCAAAAAAGCTAGCTCCCTAAGTTTCCAATATAATGTAACTACAACATTTTCGCAAACAAAAACAGTGATATAGTTAACAAAAATTGTTTGTAACATTTTGTAAAGTTGTTCATGAAAATTTTGTAAATGGAGGCAAGATAATGCTTAATAATGTAGTCATGTAGTGTGTAGCCCGCTATTTTGATGGGAAACTTAGGGGGCTTATTTCGGTCAATTTTCAGCTTGTGATGTTCACGTGAGACGGCTGCCCGGGCTTGTTTTTATGCACAATCATTTCATGCAAGGTGACCAGAGCTTATTGTGCACTCACACTTGTTTCGTCTGTGATATCCTTGTGGAATACCGCCACTAATTGGTTAGAACATTTTTGTTGTTGCTCAACTTGACAGGACATCTCAGCTGATGATGCGCAGCAGTTATATTCGTTACTCTCGGGACTGCAAGACAGAATTCCACACTTGATCAAACCAGGAGAAGTTGAGGTAAGAAAGCAATTCCTGAATCTAATTTGTTTGTTGTTGCAGAATTTTGTGCATACCAAACATAAACACAAATGTTGGTTGTTTGTTTTTAACAAGCACATTCTGTTGAATGCAAACAACATATTACCGTTGAGAGGTGCATTATTTCACATTAAAAAAATGAATCACTGTGGTTTTTGTTAGGTGTGTAGCAGACCACTCCATAGCTTAGAAAAGTGTATGATCTCTGTATATATTGTTGCAGAGGATGGACACGACCGATAATGCATTGCTTGAACGATACGTGATTACCAATTCAAGATTAGGCCAAAAAAAAAAAGTCTCCGGTTTCTGGTATGGAGCTTGCCCAAAAAGTGGTGCGGCGACGCGGCTTTTTTTTTTTTTTAACCGACTTTTTGGCTTCAAATGTGCTTCAAATGTCGGCTGATGACTGCAAATGGTGCCCGACTAAACTTAGTGCAAATATATGGGAGTCCAGAGAGGCCACATAAAGCTTATTTTCGATCATAACCCCATCTAAAAACACGTTGAAATTGCGCAGCAGCAGAATTCCAGTCAAACCAGTGAGTTTGGCGGTTTTGAGACATCATCTTTCATTGAAAAAAAAACTTTTTCATTTTGCCGACGCGCATGGCTACGGCGACGCGCGCGCATACCAGAAACCGGAGACTTTTTTTTTTGGGCCTTATGCTTCATTTGCTCATAAATTGCCCACAAATCCACTTTTCAAACAACTAGAAGTGCATGGGCGTCGCGAGGGGGGGGGGGCAAGGGGGGGCACTTGCCCCCCCCCCCCCCGGAAAAGCCCAAAAAAAGAAGAAAAAAGAAAAAAGAAAAAAAAAGAGGCGCGAAGACAAAGTGTTGTGTAAATTTAATGAGTTGGGGGGGGGGCAAAATGTCCCTGCCCCCTTCTAAAACTGATAAATTGAGAATGTGTTGAGAAATACAAGCATTTTGGGGCAAAAAAAATTTGCCCCCCTCTAGAAAAATCCTGGCGACGCCCATGTAGAAGTGTATTCCTTATTGTAAAGGAGGTTGACTGTTCGTATTTGGATTGATGCGTAGGAACCAGTTTTGGTGCAGAGTACCGTTGATCAGTGGATGTCATTCAGCGAGATGCTGTTTATGCTAGACGCCAGCATGCAAGATATTGTTGACAGGTGGGCGGAGGGCAAGGTGAGATACAACACAAATCAGATTCAAATTATAAGCTGGAAAATTCTTTCAGGTTGAACAAAGAAATTGACTGGAGTGGGGTTTGGACCAATGACCTCCGGATTGTCGTTCCAGTGCTCGATCAACTGAACTATCTAGCCCTATGCTGGCAATTACCCATTTGTAATAAAAAAAGTTGTTTCTTGTCTGAGTGATCCCCGTTTGGTATTTGTAGGTTTGCAGCATTGCTAACGTTGCTAGCATCGTGACTTAGGGCGTGATCCCTGGCTACATGGCATATATGGGATTATGGCTTCTGACTAGCACCCCTTGAACAAAGACATTTACAAATCACCAACATTGGGCTGGATAGCTCAGTTGGTAAGAGCACCGGAATGGCAATCCGAAGGTCACAGGTTCAACCCCTGCTCCAGTCAATTTCTTTGCTCAACTTTAAAATTAAAAACATTGTTTATGTTGGGAACTCCTCTTCTTGTCTAGTTGCTCTTTAAACATTTGAGACTGTGATTCTCTCCGTCATTCCAGGGACCACTTGCTATGGTGTTCAGCGCCAGTGACGTGAAGAGCCTGATCCGGGCCATCTTCCAGAACACCGACAGACAAGCCACAGTGCTCGCCAAAATCAGATAGGACCAGCCGGGAAAGTAAGCTGAGTTCAAGGCATATAGGATCATTTGCCATCATTTCATGAACTGGACCAAATTTAAGGGCTAATAATTTATAGCTGACGTCGTTCCACTGAGCTGTTCAATGTATTGTGTCTCCATGCTGAAAAAACACGAAAAAAAGCTGTTCTTTTTCATCCCTCAAAGTGCAGTTTGTAGAATCTGTCATGCATAGAATCCATAGGTCACAGGGTGTGCCTGAGTGCCAGCTCTGTCAGGGGAAAGTAATGCACAGATATATGTAGTGTACCCGAGCATATGCATGAAGTCAACAGCCAACTCACAGCTGTTTAACAGATGTAGTATTTTAGATAACTGTCTGTTCTCAGCGATGGTTGGGTCCGTATGATAGGCAGAGTGTGATATGGACCATGGTATATGAGATATTATCTTCATATAAACTTGAATCCTCGATCCTGATTGGTGAATCCATGGCAACAAGCCGTGCTACATATAACAATGTAGCACGGCCACAGTCCATACTGCACTCCGCATATTGCACTATTCTAAGATGCGCGCTCCATTCCATACGAACATGAACAGCGGCATGTGTGTTTCATCTTACTGTGCCTCAAGTTTGCTTAAAGATGAATTTGTTATCGCGCTCACGTTTGTGGAACACAAAAAATGCAGTGCGTCTGTGTCCCACATACCACTCAGCCGAATGTGGGACACAGACACACTGCATTATTCCGTGTTCCACTCGCACTCGCGGGATAACTAATAATACCACATTGTTGCCATGGATCGACCAATCAGGAACTAGTCATGGCGCCTTTCATTTGCAAACATCAAAAACCAAAACTGCCAAGTTATTATGAAATATCTTGACTGTTAGTGAATAATAGTCTCAAGCATCCTGTGAAATCACAGCACCTGGTGTGCTGTCATTTTCAAGAAAAGTGGGATTTTGTATCAATTTCCACCGATGGTCGGCCCTGTTTGAGAGAGAAGCTTGACTTTCTGTCTGTTCCCATCCATCTACTGTTGCCGTATACCTAGATGTAGAACAAAAAGATATATTGCAATAGCTTTTTTTCCCACGTGCTGCATCTCCTTGGAATTCTTTGCTTGGTGCTTATTTCCCTCCAACCTATGATCTGTCCTGCTTCAAGAGGCCCTTCAAGGGCGTTGGATTGGTGGTCTGCGGGTAAAGCTGCAGGTTGTGGGTTTGAGTCCAGCCTGGGGTCATGGTGGGTGTGCCCTTGGGCAAGGCACCTTGTCACTAATTGCTTCTCTCCCACCCAGGAGTAATAGGCTATCAGCTTTGGTCCAAAAAATGGGCCACCGGTACCAGACGATTGAAAAGAGCAATGCTCATAGCGATTTTTTGAAAGGCATATCTAGAGTTGGAGAATGTGTGATAGCTTTGCAGTGTGAGTGGTGGCAGTTTTTTGGGTGTTATCACTTTTGATTTGTGTTTTCATTCAAAATGGCTGTACGTCAATATGCTTGAACCAAATAAATTATATGTGGTAATTACAAGCATGTTTTGGCCTCCATTTTAAAAAAGAAAACAAGGGACAGCACCCAAAAAGCTGCCACCGCTGCAATGCTGTCGCATATTTTTTGACTAGAGGGGTGCATACCTTGCCAAACATCACAATGAGCATTATTCCCCTCATTTGATACTGACCAAACCCCCACACTGATGGCTTACAAGTGGGTACCTGTGAGGGCAGAGATGGTGTGGTTGATTTAGCTGCTTTGCGCCGACGTGTAGCCCTGTATATCTGGAGTGGCTTGTAGCCTTGTTCAGGGCGAATAGGCATAAAAAAAAACAAGTCTAAAACCCGGATGGGGATCTTTCTGTGCCTCCTAGACCACTGTTTTGGTGGGGAACACTTGGTTTTACCATGAATTAATTGGAGTGGGGTAATCGTTTCTCTTGTTTTCCAGATTTATATGCTCATTCAGAGTGAGAAGATCAAGAATGACTACACATGTCTCTGGTTGGCAAGATGCTGTGAGTATTACCGTCAGTTGTTAATGACGTTTCTTCTTCCAACTTCAAAGTTGCTAATTATGGGAATGAATCTACCTGTTAAGCCTCAACTCATAATGTATTGACCATGCACTCACAACTGTGACTGCACAAGCAAATGTCCAACTAAAGTCACGACACGTCGCGTGCATGCATTTCATGTACTGCTGGAAAATCCAGAGTGGCATTAGGGAGATGCACATGTTGCCCATGTGTGAGGTAGACTGACGTGTCTCTAACAATGACATAACCAGCATGCACTTGCCCTGATCATATATTAAGGATGTGACTTGGCGTTTTATTTTGTAAACCTTGAGCAAATATTTTACGAACTGTTTTAAACATTTAGCCATTGACAGTGGTTTTTGCATACCCATTTTGTCTGATCTGCAGAGCGGCGTGATTGACATGATAAATCAACAATGGTTGACATAGTAAATAGCGGGCAGTCGTTGATAAAGTAAACATGTTCTGCCTGTTCCCCAAATGTAATCAATTATGAGGTGCTTCTAAGGTTTTGTAAATTAAGTAGGTTTGAAAACAACGTTAATTATTTGTGCTACATATATGTGTGGTTGTCTCAAAGGAAGATCGGGTGAACGGAGATCCCTTTTATATAATTCGGGTTTTGTTTAAATGTTTTGAAAAATTAGTAAACGGAGTAAAAAGTTTTTTTGTTTCATACGTGTAAACGTCACATCTTAATCCTATATTTGCCATGTTGGATTTGTTCTATCACATTTCAAGCAGATTGTACTACAGAAATTTGCTACATTGAACATCCCTCTTGGCTCCCAAATATTGTACACAGTTACACTGAGCATTGCTGGCCGAAAATTGCTGAAATGAGCATCCACTGAACCGAACCATCTTTTGTGAACCCCAATGTGTTTTCTTACAGCAGTATCCTATGTATTTATAACCTTTCTTTGTGTTGTTTTTGTTGTTCAGACATCATGAATCGTAAGGCCAGACTAGCCTGGGAGTTGTACCTTAAGATGGAGACGTCTGGCGAATCGTTCAGCCTGCTGCAGCTCATTGCCAACGACGGCTACAAGGTAAAACATCATCCCCTATTTTTGTCCGTTGTATGTTTGGTCAAGATTTTGGCATTAGCCCCAAATTAGCATCCAGTCACTCAATCTCAACGTGCAGCCAATTTCACAAAACAGATTTGTCACTTCATCCAAACGCAAATGGTAGAGGAGACATAAATCCAAATATAACGCATGTGTAGAAAAGAATGCAGTATCCAGATGCTACTTCAGCGGTTGTGTACAAAGTCTATGGAGAGTCAAGAAAACTTTCCAAGTATTTCTGAACCAAATTGGAAGTGTTTCTCAGTCCCAGATTCATGTTTGTGAAACATTTTTGCAATGACTGATCTTTATTGAGATGATGTGTGAAGACAAAAGTGGCGTCAGGTTGCAACATTGTTTCCCACATGTAAAATCAACGAGAATACGAATCCCTGTCAAAAAAAGAGAAAAATGACTCGTTGCACATTTACCACTTTGTGTCATTAGCTTGAATAATGAAGGATGCACTTTTGTGTCCCAACTTTGGTAAGCATGTAGAGGGCATCATAAAATATTAGAATAGCCAAAAATCCCAAACTGCTTAAAATATTGATTTTTGGACAATTTCAACACGGTGGGATATGATCGAAAAATTCAGGCTTTTCATTCAAACTTCTGGGTTTTTTGCTCGACCTCAAATTGTAATTGTCAAGGTCTCCTCTCAATTTTCATATTCCAACTTTTCTGTCGGTAGATGGGCCAGTTCTACTATGCTTTCGATGTCCTGGAAAGATTGGACCCCAATCCTGAATACTGGGAAGGCAAGCGAGGGGCGTGCGTGGGCGTATTCCAGCAGATCATTGCTGGTCATGAACCAAGGTGGGTGTCATCTCTGTCAATCAGCAGTGCACACTGACCAATTAGATCTCAAATTCTGGTCAGGTGACTACAGTACATCAATCAAACGGTGCACACTGACTAATCAGATCTCAACCTTTGGTCAGGTGACAGTCAGGTGACCACAGTACATCAATCAAACAGTGCGCACTGACCAATTACATCTCAATTAGTATATCACTCCGGTGCTCTACCAACTGAGCTATCCAGCCCAATGTTGGAGGTTCCCATTGTCAATGTCTCTGTCAAAGGTGCGCTAGTCAGAAGCCCTCAACCCGCATATGCCATGCAGCCAGGGATCACGCCCAAAGCCACGATACAGACCTGGCAAATATAAAACGGGGATCACTCAGAGAGGATACGGCTTTTTATTACAAATTTTCATGAATACTTTTCAACTTCTTAGCCCTCTAGTTCAAATTCATTGATCTTTATGGATTTTTCCTTTTTTCCCCTAAATTCTATAAACAGCTTTCATTTTCACTATTAGGTTTTGCACTTCACCGACTTATAAACACTGTTTACTCAGTGCGTTACCTCCCGAGTGAAAGTTGGAAAAAAATCACTCGGTTGGGACTCGAACCCATGACCTCCTGCTTTCTAGTGCAGACATCTTACCACTGGACCACCAATCTCGTAAACTCGGTGGTCGAGTCATGGGTTCAAATCCCACCGGAGTGATTTTTTTCTCCAACTTTCACTCGGGAGGTAACACACTAAGTATACAGTGTTTATACGTCGAAGAAGGGCAAATCTTAATATTGAAATGCATCATCCCGACGCAAAGTCCATCTTGTTAATAGCTTTCATTTTTATGTGCACAAAACCCAGTGAAGTTCAAGCCACTAGATTTTTGTCATTTTTTTTCCTCTACAGAGAAACACTCTGCGAGACATCCTCCAAATCTTGCGCAACACCGGTAACCCGCAGGTGGAATACATCATCCGTGTCATGAAGAAGTGGGCCAAGGACAACAGGGTACCAGTTTCCTGAGGTGGTCCCTATCCTAGTCTTGAGATTGTTTAGATTTGTACATCCCAAATGTCCTGCTTCGCAAAGGGATTTTCCAAAGTATTTGTTCTTCACATTGGGAAATTTGCCTTGAAATATTTCTCTATTTAGCTTTGGCAAGATGGTTATGCAGGAGAAAACAACAGTTCTGGAGAGAGGCTTAAGTCTCTCATGGCATAAACAAAGTAGGCTTGCCTGGTTAAGCTGGACTGTGTGACTCGGTCAGTGACTCAGTCAACAACTCAGTGACTCGATCAGCGACTCAGTGATTCAGTCAGATTCAGTCAGTGACTCGGTCAGTGACTCGGTCAGTGACTCGTCAGTGACTCGTCAGTGATTCGGTCAATGTCTTGGTTAGTGAATCACTCAGTGACTCATTGAGCAACGTGGTGGCTGTCATCAACTCAGTGACTTGGTCAGTGACTCCGTCAGTGCCTCATTGAGCGACTCAGTGACTCAGTCATGCAGTGACTCGGTGACTCGGTCAGTGTCTCATCCCGCAGTCAGTGATTCGGTCAGTGACTCGGTCAGTACCTCATTGAGTGACTCAGTGACTCAGTCATGCAGTGACTCGGTGACTCGGTCAGTGTCTCATCCCACAGTCAGTGATTTAGTCAGTGACTCGGTCAGTGCCTCATTGAGCGACTCAGTGACTCAGTCATGCAGTGACCCGGTGACTCGGTCAGTGTCTCATCCCGCAGTCAGTGATTCGGTCAGTGACTCGGTCAGTCAGTGATAATAGTGACTGACTCGATCAGTTGATACTCAGTGACTCAGTCGGACAGTCAGTCAGGCAGCATTGAAATATTCATCATAATTGTGAATGTTCACGTCACAAATGTTGCTTACATGTAGGACAACTCTGCAAGTTTGTTTTCTTGGAGTTTCTTGGGCCTGTTTAGAGACAACCCAACGGCATGAGAATGGGCCAGGAATGGTTATTCAAGGAGGGGGTAGTCATCTGTATGTAATGTAATTATACTAAATAATGGTTTATATTTATATAAATATACATGTACAAGTTTTCAGAGCACGTTTGTCAAGCAATTTGGGTGTAAGGTCCAGAAGGCATGAAACAAATTGAAAATAAGTGATTTGAACAGGGCCCAATTTCATAGCGCTGCTAAGCACACAATTTCTGCCAGCAGAGCCTCTCTGTCTATATTATGGAGATCGTAAGCAGTAAACACAGCAAAAGGCACGCTAATACCTCAGAGGAACAATGTAACTTACCGTAAGCAGTAAACACAGCAAAAGGCATGCTAAAATACCTCAGAGGAACAATTTGCTTAGCTTTTGACGTGACAATGTACATGTAGATCTCAATGCGTGCTGAACCGTTAGCACATCCACGCCATGAGTGCTTAATAAGGATGGTACAATGTTCTGCTGTAGTAATGAGCACAGCTTTTCTGGTAACTGTTAAGCAACGCCATAAAATTGGGCCCAGATTGTATTCAAGTCCCGAGTCCACACAAATCCTTGAAAGTCAATCTTGTCATCCATGTCCCATGTCAGTTTCAGAAATTTCAATCCAACAGAATCTTTCTCAAAGGCAATCTATCACATTGTAAATACTATATTTTTTTCATGTACAATATTGGGAAAGAATGTTGTAACCTGATGCTGCTTTTTCTTCATATCGTGTCAATGAAGTCATTCATTGCAAAAATGATGATAATAGACATGAATCTGGGACTGAGAAATACTTAAGAGAACATTTTCTTGACGCTCCATACTTAACGCCGCTGAAGTGGCGTCAGGTTGCAACATTCTTTGCCAATATTGTGTGATATTCTGACTTCATTTCTTTATTTCATCTGTAAAAACATTAAATGTTTACTGCCTTTCTTTAAAGGGAAGATACAACATTTGCAAACATCACAAAACGAAATGATCAAATTATCACGAAATACCTTACTGGATTGTTGGGGAATGAAAGTCTAAAGCATCCTGTAAAATTGTGGCTCCTGATGTGCTGACATTTTTAAGAAAAATGTTACTTTTCCAACGCTGGTCAGCCGACCAGCATTGGAGAAAACTGGCTATTTTTCAAAAATTGCTCCCAATTTTTTTATAATTAGTTATTCCGCATTTTCTTTGCAATTGATTACACACCCGTGAAGAGGTATAAGTCTGCTAGACTGATTCTCTGACCTTTTGATTCCCCAAAGTCTATTAATTGCTCCGTTTTACCTTATAAGTGGGGTCACCAGACTGCAAATACATGACTGGTTTTCTTGGCTTTTCCAGCTTCTACAAGCCCAAACGTGAAAAAAGTCATTTTAACAATATTTGCTAAAACATACTAATCCTCCAAATCCATTTATTTCTGAAAATTGCAGCGAAAGCAAATGTTGTACATGCCCTTAAGTCCGATAAATATTTTCTTGCAGTGTAAATATTGTGTAGGTCAATTTTAAAAGTAAATGTGTACTTAAAATATTGTTGGAATGCTGTGCATAGTTCTTTGAATAAAGGGATATTAAATCAACACAATAAATGAAAGTGAAAAAAAAATACCTGTTTGTTATTGTTTTGTTTGTTTTCTTGGAAGTTTGTTTGGGATTCTGAAAACAAAACTTCAGTTTATTTAAAAGATAAGTTCAGTAGATTTATGTTTGGGCATGGAGCTATAAAAAGTTGGGAAGGTAAGAAAAAAAATAATATAATTATGGTGGGACTCGAACCTGAGTCGCCTGATTGAGAGTCCTACGCCGGTCCACAAGACCATTAAGGCACTCAAATGTTATACTAGTTCTGCTTAATTACAATTGTAAGATAGGCTTATCGTGGCTTTTCACGTTGACGCCCATGCACGCTTAGACGTAAAAAAACAGTCTGACGATGTAAAACATTCGTTTGATTTTGGGTGTAGCTGTTCTAATTGATCTAAATGTAATTGGAAAATGGTAAAGGGTGTCAACTGAACTAAACTCCTGAAATTCAATGAAATAAAACTCGTACAATCTTTGGTTTCAGTACGAAACACACGTGTTCAACGGATGCAGAGAAGCCTATTTCTTTTGTTAAATTCCTTTGTTGAATCTGGCGTTAACAATAAAATGTTTCCATTGAGGGAAAAGGATTAAACGCCGCGATCTTTTTTCACGCTTGAGTGCATCTGAATGGGGAATATTGAAGCGGAAAATCACGATTTACAGCACTTAGGCAGCATTTTATCCCACATAATGATACTTTTTGAAGAGGAAATTGCATACTGAATACATCTATAGTTTCAAAATTCAAAAATTCGCGGTATTTAAAAAGTCCAGGAAATTTTTTTGGAACAATTTCACCAAAACTTTCCTCATCCTAACGTAGGCGGCGCTATATATATATTTCCTTCTCAGTGCGCGCGATAGCCGCCGCCCGATCTGTGTATCACCTGTTTACCCAATCTCATTTTAGCATCACAATTTCAATTTATTTCACGAATAAAAGTTGAATAGGTCTAAAACTAAAATAATACATAATTAAGGTCAGTGAAAAAATGCAATCCGAATAAAAGTCAACTTTAATGGAACAAAAGTGACGCGTATCAGGATATTAATTAAAGGGCTCCGGTATACACATGAGCAAGAGGGAGGCGGGATTTTTTTTGTCGTGTGAGATGGGGGGGGGGGAACAAGCGAAATATATTTATTAAACTTGAAGTCGTAAGTGGAGAAATGTTTTTTAAATAAAAGGGCTATAAACTGTATATGTATTCAAAAAAGGAAGCCAGCCCCGCCCCCATCCCCTTGCAATGCCATACACACACACGCTAATGCGCTAGCCAACTCTGGATACGGTGCACGTGCGGGAATGAATATATATAGCGCCGCCTACGTTAAGATGAGGAAAGTTTTGGTGAAATTTTTCCTAAAAAATTACCTCGACTCTTTAAATACGGCGAATTTTTGAATTTGGAAACTATAGTTGTGTTCAGTATGCAATTTCCTCTTCAAAAAGTATCATTATGTAGGATAAAATGCTGCCTAAGTGCTGTAATTCGTGATTTTCCGCTTCAATATTCCCCATTCAGATGCACTCAAGCGTGAAAAAAGATCGCGGCGTTTAATCCTTTCCCTTCAATGGAAACATTTTATTGTTAACGCCAGATTCAACAAAGGAATTTAACAAAAGAAATGGGCTTCTCTGCATCCGTTGAACACGTGTGTTTCGTACTGAAACCAAAGATTGTACGAGTTTTATTTCATTGAATTTCAGGAGCTTAGTTCAGTTGACACCCTACACCCTTTTCCAAATAAATTTAGATCAACTTGAACAGCTACACCCAAAATCAAACGAATGTTTTACATCGTCAGACTGTGTTTTACGTCTAAGCGTGCATGGGCGCAATGTGAAAAGCCACGATAAGCCTATCTTACAATTATATTTAAGCAGAACTAGTCGAGCATTGAGCTCGTGGACTCGTCTTGTGGACTGGCATATGACTCCCGATAAGGCGACTCAGGTTCGAGTCCCACCATTATTTTATTGTTACTTAATTTTCTTCCCTTTTTTTTTTTTTACATTCCCGAGACATAAATTGACTGAACTTATGTTAGAAAAATTGAACTGTTGTTTTCAGAATCAAATATAATTAAAAATATAAATATTCTTTTTTTATGAATATTCCTCCAGGAGAGACAAGTTTGGAAATAACACAGTGTTTCCTGAAAAGCATTTGAAATTTAGATTTTTCAACTTCGTTTAACAGTTTATATGAAACTTAACACAGAGTTATCACTGACTATGGTATTATTCTCGAACTAGTTGCAGAGCATTACACAAAATAAAACATATTTAACCAAAACATTTCACGCATGTCAGTACTGCAAGCGTACAGTTTTAAAAACCAATGATATAGGCCTAATTTGTCTATTTTTCATGATAAATCACCTGGCCACCGTTCAATTTAATGCGTTACTTAATTTTTGAGATAGTTTGTCGGCCAGGACTATCGTTTTCGAGCAAAAAGTGAGAAAAATAGTATGTTTGGACTGGGACTGCATCCTATCTCCAAGTTTTTCTCTGCGTTGACACAAGACACTGTTAAGGGAGAGAAAAACAATATTTTGTCTAAATCTTCTGTCTAGTTTGTCTATTTTTCAGGATAAATCACCTGACCACCGTTCAATTTAATGCGTTACTTAATTTTTGAGATAGTTTGTCGTCAAGAACTATCGTTTTCGGTCAAAAAGTGAGGAAAATAGTATGTTTGGACTGGGACTGCATCCTATCGCCACGTTTTTCTCTGCGTTGACACAAGACACTGTTGAGGAAGAGAACAAGTATATTTTGTCTAAATCTTCTGTCTAGTTTGTATATTTGTCATGGTAAATCACCTGGCCACTGTTCAATTCAATGCATTATTCAATTTTTGAGAGAGTTTGTCGACCAGGACTATCGTTTTCGAGCTAAAAGTGAGGAAAATAGTATGTTTGGACTGGGACTGCATCCTATCGCCAAGTTTTTCTCTGCGTTGACACAAGACACTGTTGAGGAAGAGAACAACAATATTTGTCTAAATCTTCTGTCTAGTTTGTCTATTTTTGATGATAAATCACCTGACCACCGTTCAATTTAATGCATTATTCAATTTTTGAGAGAGTTTGTCGACCAGGACTATCGTTTTCGAGCAAAAAGTGAGAAAAATAGTATGTTTGGACTGGGACTGCATCCTATCTCCAAATTTTTCTCTGCGTTGACACCAGAAACTGTTGAGGGAGAGAAAAACAATATGTTGTCTAAATCTTCTGTCTAGTGTGTCTATTTGTCAGGATAAATCACCTGGCCACTGTTCAATTTAATGCATTACTCAATTTTTGAGAGAGTTTGTCGACCAGGACTATCGTTTTCGAGCTAAAAGTGAGGAAAATAGTATGTTTGGACTGGGACTGCATCCTATCGCCACGTTTTTCTCTGCGTTGACACAAGACACTGTTGAGGTAGAGAACAAAAATATTTTGTCTAAATCTTCTGTCTAGTTTGTCTATTTTTGATGATAAATCACCTGACCACCGTTCAATTTAATGCATTACTCAATTTTTAAGAGAGTTTGTCGACCAGGACTATCGTTTTCGAGCAAAAAGTGAGGAAAATAGTATGTTTGGACTGGGACTGCATCCTATCTCCAAGTTTTTCTCTGCGTTGACACAAGACACTGTTGAGGGAGAGAAAAACAATATTTTGTTTAAATCTTCTGTCTAATTTGTCTATTTTTCATGATAAATCACCTGACATTCGTTCAATTTAATGCATTACTCAATTTTTGAGAGAGTTTGTCGACCAGGACTATCGTTTTCGAGCAAAAAGTGAGAAAAATAGTATGTTTGGACTGGGACTGCATCCTATCGCCAAGTTTTTCTCCGTGTTGATACAAGACACTGTTGAGGAAGAGAACAACAATATTTTGTCTAAATCGTCTGTCTAGTTTGTCTTTTTTTTCAGGACAAATCACCTGGCCACCGTTCAATTTAATGCATTACTTAATTTTTGAGATAGTTTGTCGTCAGGGACTATCGTTTTCGAGCTAAAAGTGAGGAAAATAGTATGTTTGGACTGGGACTGCATCCTATCTCCAAGTTTTTCTCTGCGTTGACACCAGAAACTGTTGAGGGAGAGAAAAACAATATTGTGTCTAAATCTTCTGTCTAGTGTGTCTATTTGTCAGGATAAATCACCTGGCCACTGTTCAATTTAATGCATTACTCAATTTTTTAGAGAGTTTGCCGTCAAGAACTATCGTTTTCGAGCTAAAAGTGAGAAAAATAGTATGTTTGGACTGGGACTGCATCCTATCGCCACGTTTTTCTCTGCGTTGACACAAGACACTGTTGAGGTAGAGAACAAATATATTTTGTCTAAATCTTCTGTCTAGTTTGTCTATTTTTGATGATAAATCACCTGACCACCGTTCAATTTAATGCATTACTCAATTTTTGAGAGAGTTTGTCGACCAGGACTATCGTTTTCGAGCAAAAAGTGAGAAAAATAGTATGTTTGGACTGGGACTGCATCCTATCTCCAAGTTTTTCTCTGCGTTGACACCAGACACTGTTGAGGGAGAGAAAAACAATATTTTGTCTAAATCTTCTGTTTAATTTGTCTATTTTTCATGATAAATCACCTGGCCACCGTTCAATTTAATGCGTTACCTAATTTTTGAGATAGTTTGTCGTCAAGGACTATCGTTTTCGAGCAAAAAGTGAGAAAAATGGTATGATTGGACTGGGACTGCATCCTATCTCCAAGTTTGTCTCTGCGTTGACACAAGACACTGTTGAGGAAGAGAACAAGTATATTTTGTCTAAATCTTCTGTCTAGTTTGTCTATTTTTCATGATAAATCACCTGACCACCGTTCAATTTAATGCGTTACTTAATTTTTGAGATAGTTTGTCGTCAAGGACTATCGTTTTCGAGCAAAAAGTGAGGAAAATGGTATGTTTGGACTAGGACTGCATCATATCGCCAACTTTTTCTCAGTGTTGTACAAGACACTGTTGAGGAAGAGAACAACAATATTTTGTCTAAATCTTCTGTCTAGTTTGTCTATTTTTGATGATAAATCACCTGGCCACTGTTCAATTCAATGCATTACTCAAGTTTTGAGTGTGTTTGTCGTCAAGGACTATCGTTTTCGAGCTAAAAGTGAGGAAAATAGTATGTTTGGACTGGGATTGCATCCTATCGCCACGTTTTTCTCTGCGTTGACACAAGACACTGTTGAGGAAGAGAACAACAATATTTTGTCTAAATCTTCTGTCTAGTTTGTCTATTTTCAGGATAAATCACCTGACCACCGTTCAATTTAATGCATTACTCAATTTTTGAGAGAGTTTGTCGACCAGGACTATCGTTTTCGAGCAAAAAGTGAGGAAAATAGTATGTTTGGACTGGGACTGCATCCTATCTCCAAGTTTTTCTCTGCGTTGACACCAGACACTGTTGAGGGAGAGAAAAACAATATTTTGTCTAAATCTTCTGTCTAGTTTTCTTTTTTTCAGGATAAATCACCTGGCCACCGTTCAATTTAATGCATTACTCAATTTTTGAGAGAGTTTGTCGACCAGGACTATCGTTTTCGAGCAAAAAGTGAGAAAAATAGTGTTTGGACTGGGACTGCATCCTATCTCCAAGTTTTTCTCTGCGTTGACACCAGAAACTGTTGAGGGAGAGAAAAACAATATTTTGTTTTAATCTTCTGTCTAGTTTGTCTATTTTTCATGATAAATCATCTGGCCACCGTTCAATTTAATGCATTACTCAATATTTGAGATAGATGTCTTCTTTTTACTCAAAAGTCGGACATCTGTGTTGACGCGGTACGAGTAGCGACCACTGTGCATGTGGCGCGCCCTCTATTGAAAGATTGGCTAAAAATGATATTTTTTTTATCAATTAGTCGGTGATTTTTGGCCCAAATCTTCAAAATAATGTGCTTGAATGTTGATAGATACTCATCTGATATCGAAAGAGGTTTCGGAGTCGTTTGGAGAAAAGTCTTTCTTTTTTTTGGCCACGCATTTGAGAGAAACAAAATAATAAAAGTTAAATATTTCAAATGTCACACCTTATACACAGAGCTTAGTAGTTGCACTCTGCAATTTTATTCAATCTATTCATTCCAGAAACCTTAAACTAGAAAATCATTTGAATCATAGCAAGAAATAAAACAACAAGACAAAGAAATCCAGTGTTAACCTTGTAACAATCACTGAGAAAATGCAATCATTTCCAAAAACCAGAGCGTGAATTTGGACACCAATATTTGTTAGACAAAATGAAACAATGTTAAAACAAATTATACTGTCACATGCAGTTCAAATTTCCTTTCGTAACTTTGACTGAACATACTTGTACATACTTTGAGCAGATCTATTGATATTAAAGAGGGCAATAACGTCTAAGTTTTGCGGTTACTAAATCGGACGCATGGCAAGTCTGTTCCAATAGATTTCTCGTCTACTTGTATTTTTCAAGTCGAGTTTAAGAGTACATGTTGCATCAATAAACCGCAGGCTGGTAGACATTTCTGAAAAAGCAAGTCAACAATGTCAATTCTGAGTACTGAAATAAAAAATATGTCTCTAAGGCCAAAAAAAAAAAGTCTCCGGTTTCTGGCATGGAGCTGGCCCCAAAAGTGGTGCGGCGACGCGGCTTTTTTTTTTTTTTTACCTGTTTTTTTTTTTTTTTTTTGGCTTCAAATGTCGGCTGATGACGGCAAATGGTGCCCGACTAAACTTAGTGCAAACATATGGGAGTCCAGAGAGGCCACATAAAGCTTATTCTCGATCATAACCCCATCTAAAAACACGTTAAAATTGTGCAGCAGCAGAATTCCAGTCAAACCAGTGAGTTTGGCGGTTTTGAGACATCATCTTGTATTGAAAAAAAAAAACTTTTTTCATTTTGCCGACGCGCATGGCTACGGCGACGCGCGCGCATACCAGAAACCGGAGACTTTTTTTTTTTGGCCTAAATCTTTGAACATTGATTTTTTTTCAGTGGGGAAATAACGGATAATTTGAACATAATTTTTTCAATTTTCTTTTCATTATGAGGAGAAAAACATGTTTTGCATTCGAATGTTTTTGTTTTAGACAGTTACATATCCAGTTGAAAGGAAAGAAAGATACTTGAAGTGATATATGATAATATTTGACAAATAGTGCAGCTTAATGAGAAATGAAAGTAACTATTCAGCACTTGATTACAAGTACATATTATTGAGAATATTTTAGAAGGATTTCTTAACAAAACATGAGAAAGTTCTAAGAAAGGACTTTTGTTTTAGAGAAATCGTCTTTTGGGAAAATGTTATTAAAAATGTATTCTATTTTAATTCTGGCAAAATTGTTTAAATTGCTTTAAACTTACAGGATACTTGTCTGAGGCCAAAAAAATAAGTCTTCGGTTTCTGGTACGGAGCTTGCCCAAAAATTGGTGCAGCGACGCAGCATTTAAAATTTTTTTTTTTTTCTTCAAATGTCGGTGATGACTGCAAATGGTGACCGACTAAATTTAGTGCAAAATATATGTGAGCCTGCAGAGGCCACATAAAGCTTTTGCTCGATAGTAACCCCATCTAAAAACACATTAAACTTGTGTAGCAGCAGGATTCCAGTCAAACCAGTGAGTTGGGCAGTTTTGAGACATAATCTTACAATGAAAACACTTTTTAAGTTGGCTGTCGCGCATGGCTACAGTGACGCGCGCGCATACCAGAAACTGGAGCCTTTTTGGGGGGGGGGGGGCCTAAAGTACTTGAGGCCCAATTCCAACACGATTTCTGGTCAGATATTCCATCCAACAGATAATCACATCAAAAATGGGGGAGAAATTGCGGTCACAAAAGATAACTTCTTTCCAATCAATAAAGCAGTAATTTTTGCTCAAATCTTCATAAAAATGGATTTTTGAACACTGATTGAAACTCATCTCACATCGTAGGGCATTGCCGAGTCATTTGGAGGCAAGTCCTGTTTTGGCCAAATTTCATAAGAAATGTTCGGTTGAACCCTTGCAATTTGTTATGAGTTTTGGTTAAAAAAACCCAAAACTACTTGAAACTAAAAGAGCGAACTGTGAAGAAAGTTTAAAACTGCACCTTGAAGAAATACCTTACAATACAATGGCATAATTATCTCTAGAAATTTGGTCTTAGGGCATACAATCAACCCCCCCCCCCACTTGATCAACCTAGCCCCACCCCTTATTTATCTTGATTTCCCACACCAAATAAGCAATGCTTAGAATCAGGAATTGAAGGCGACATGTTGACACATCTATGGCGTGCATCGTTTTATGAAGCGTTGGTAGAAGCAGACGTCCCTGATATGCATGCGGTTTAGGATCCAGGTCAAGAATCGTCCAGTCCGAGACCGTAGATCGTAGCCTCCGTGAGGACAGGTACCGTACTTCCTCTGTGGAGGGAATAAATACAAAAAATATTCAGTACGCACAAATTTGGCTAAACTGGGGGCCATTAGATGGAACCAGGTTCAATCAAGGACCATAGTATACAAATATGGAATGCTTGGAGTGGTGTAGTAAACCTAGCCGCCTCGGGTTATCAATGGACATCTATTTCCCTGAGGGGAAGCAAAGGCAAAATTGAATGCTCCATGGATCATCGACGGAGGCTAGTTTTACTGCACCACGAGATAAGGCATTCAATATTTTTTTCATAACACTTCACCCACAAATTCTGCTAGGTTTTTAATACCTTAAATTACATAAATCTGAACACAGTTACAATGAACTTCTATTTCAATACAAAATTGGTGGGAACTCTTCCAAACCACCCCTTCACAAAACGCTTGAATCCAACTCTGTGGAGCGCTCTCTTGGAAACAATACGCGCTACGCGCAGGCCAGCATGCATTTGCACACAAAAACCACACCATGGGTATAGTACTTTGATTGCTAGTGGTATAGTACTTTGGTTGCTATGGGTATAGTACTTTTGGCTGTGCTCTGAAAGATAGCAAAAATAGAAAGTACCATGTGACTCGCTCTCGGCCAATCAAGACACAGAATCTCTGGGTGAGGTACCGGTATTGTAATTAATTATAGTTTGACTAAATCTGATGGAACGCACGCCAGTCGAAGATGGTTGGACTAGTCTAGTCGACTATTCAGGACCAGCCTACCGCGGCTGGTCGGGCCACGATTTATAGCTGGTTATCAATAGCAATTTGTCATAACATTGGGCAGAGGGGATCAACTACGATATCGAACAAAACGGCAGAAAAACAAAAATTGTGAGTGCTAAATTCCACTTTCATGGCATAGTTTTTCTTTGTTAGTTTAGGATTCTGTCACTATTGTCATCATTGTACAATAATAATGGGGATTATGTAAAGTGTCCTAAACTACGCAATCAATATTTCAATATTAGGCTTTGCCCTTCACCGACGTATAAACACTGTTTACTCAGTGTGTCCCCCCCCCCCCCCCCCCAGCGAAAGTGAAAAAATCATTCGGGTGGGACTGGAACCCATGACCTCCTGCTTTCTAGTGCAGATGTCTTACCATTCGACCACCGAGCTTAAAAGCTATTATTTGTGTAAATAAAACAGAAACATCAAGTGTTGAACAAATCTTCAGCGAATGTGCGAGCACCATCTTCTCACGGCTGTTGACATGTCAATAGTTTGACTAGAGTTGTACTCACTTTAATTTCAGTGCGCATGTGCTACGTACGTCACCAACCAACCACTATTCAACCATTGGTCCTAGATCCAACTTGCCCCTAATGCACTCAACACTCCTTTTACCACTAAAGTTGCCGAGATCTGCAAGCGCATCTCAATTTAGTCACATTGGAAAATGACTCAGACTCGGACTCGACCATGACTCCTCAAACTCCAGCTTGGTGACTCATGACTCGAGTCACGTAATTTCATCAAAAGAAGAAAACTAACGCAGGGATGGGAAAGGATCATTGAGGAATAATGTTTGGATGATAAAACATGGAGGGAAGGAATGGAGGAGTTTTTTTGGGGATGGGAATTAAAAGGAAAACACATTTTGGGTCTAAACAACATGTACACACACAACTATATACACCGGGATTTACATAAAAGACAGAATGGAGGATTAAAAAATAATTAGTTCGGTGAACAACTAAGAACAAGTGACTCGAGGACTCGGACTTGGACTCGAGGCTTGTGACTCGGGACTCGGACTCAAACTCGACGTTGGTGACCCAACTACAACACTGGTACTTGGTCACAGAGTCCACTGTACCTACCAGGTAATTCTGAGTTGGCCACCCCAGGGTAGACAGGTAAAGGCCCCCAAGAGGTGACGTCATGAAGCTTGTCCCTCAGCTCAGGATTGGTCTTCATCTGTAAGGCTAGGATGTTGGAGTTGATGCCTGTACCGTCTGCTGTCTTATTAAGGATCATCTGAATGGACTTCAGATGGGAACCTGGGCAGGATTAAAAAAAATTTACGAGATGGAAATGATCTTTTTTTTATATTTGATTTTTGTTTGCCCTTCGCTGACATATTTTGTAAACACTGTACAGTTAGTGTTGTCTGAAAGCTTAGGTGGGACTCAAACTAATGACCTCCTACACAAACAAAGTCGGGTTTAAGCACTGCTACATCAGACTCCAAATGGCCAGCTTGCCACAGCAAGCTCAGCTCGAGTGGTTGATGCATCTGCACTAGAAAGCAGAAGATTGTGGGTTCGTGTCCAACCCAAAGAAAGCTTGTTTTTTTCTTTTCTTGCAAGCCCTCAGACAACACTCGAGCAGAGATGAAACTGGCATATGGCAAAAAAATCGGGAAATAGGCCAAACAAAAATACGAGTCGGAAATCTGGGCCGCGCTGCAGTTACACACATGTAGATATGCATGTACAATACACTTCATGCCCAATTTCCGGACACCAACTCCTGCTCTATTTTCGATTCAAACAAAATTTTACGATGAAAAAAAATGGTCAGTGTTTTCATTCCATAAAACGCCTGAATTACGGTTGGAGTAATGGAGTCATCAACAAAGAAGTTCAGTTCTTACTTGAGAAAGTCGAGGAAAAAGTCCAAAAGACAAGGGCACCATTCATGTTCATGGTGCTTCAAATTTCATGTCCATGATTCAACTATTCAACCACACAACTCCACAACTCCACTTGCATTCGTACGAAGGGAAAAATCAGGCATTATCGTCTTTCTCTTCCAACAAATGCCAGTGAAATGTTTCGCTAATGCTCTCTTCGCCATCCTCGAGATAATCATCATGATTTTTAAAGCATTGCATTTTGTACAACTAAATCTGAAACCTCCAAAAATTGCACAACATAATGATTTTATCCACTGGTTCGTTCACGAAAGACACGAGGCTACCCGTTCCCGACCGGCCATGTCAAACACTTTATATAAAGATCTATCATTGAAATATCATCAATACAATTATGATTAGCATTGAAATATTTACACAGAATCAGGGGCGGGGGGAGGGGGATGTCAGGGGAAGAAAAGGGGTTGGGGATTATATCCCCCCCCCCCCAAACAACTAGAACGGCGAAGCCGCCATGGCTCTCTGTCCAAGGCAGGAAGGGAGGCTGAAGGTAGGGTTGGGGATGGGCATGATGGAAGGGGATCAGGATTCTTGTTGATGTGCCTAGGTGTAGGGGTCAGTTTTTAAATGTCAACATAAAAAGTCAACAGATTACCTAATAAATACATGTGTATATAGGTTAGCCGTCACTGTATTATGGGGGAGTTTTCCATTGTTAGGGTTATTAGGACCCACTTGTGGATTTTTGCAGCTCTCACAGTGTCTTCTGCTCCCCATACTTGTATTATCATGGGAAAACTCTTGTGTAGTCTCCACAAATGCAGAACAAGAATGGGTATAGATGTACATGTAGACACAGCACCATCACCACCTCCCCCAAAACTTACCCCATCCAAAAACCTTACCCCATCCCCAACCCGCCCCCTTCCCCCTTCCCCACCCAACCCCCTACCCACACCCATTCCATCCTCCCCTAATCATCCCCACCCTATCACCTACACATCCAAACCCCACCCAAACTCCAATCCCTATCTCCTTCCCCCTCCCTGACCCGTACCCTACCCTACCCCAACCCCCTACACCCACCTACCCTATCTTCCCCTATCTGTCCTTACCCACCCCTACACATCCCCACCCTAACCCTTACTCGAATTCCAATATCCCGCCCACCCCATTCCCCCACCCATACATCCCCACCTGACCCCATGCAACCCCTACTCTGATCCCTATATACTGCCCCCTCCCCTTATCCAACCCCTACAACAACCCATCCCTACACATCCCCAACCCAACCCCTACTCCGATCCTATATCCCGCCCCCTGCTCAACCCCCTCCTAACCCAACCCCTACATCCATGCCCATCCTCTCCCTACCTGTCTCCCCCTACCTGTCTCTCCATACCTGTTCCCACCCCACCCCTACAAATCCCCACCCCACCCAAACCCAGTATTCCAACCCCTCTCCCCACCCCAACCCACCCCAACCCACCCTGCCCCACCCATCCTAGCTCCCCTACTCATCCTACTCACACAAACCCTAACTCCAACCCTATCCCCCACCCCACCCCACCCCACCCCACCCTCCCCTACCCCATCCCTACTCCAACCCCATAAACTAAAAGATCAAACCAGAAGCTCATGCACATCCCCAAAATGCATAGTGTACATGTACATGTTATACCGGTATACACACATGTACATGTTATACCAGTATACATGTACATGTAACAATTAAAAACTTTAACATTTCCTTGAATTAAAGTTCCTCAATAAAATCATAAAATTTACTGCAATGATATGAACCTAACTGAAGTTATAGGCCTAGAGATGATACCTGACAACTGCATTTATTTTTTTTCCCCATGTTAACTAGAACCAAAATCTTCAACATTTTCATCTGAACGTGGACGGACGGACGGACGGACGTTCTAGCCAGACGGACTTGTGGGGTGATAGCATTGTGTTCCCATTATCCCTTTTTCTAAAGATTCCCTTCTGGGGTGATGTTTTTCCATTGTGTAAAAAGTGGGGTGATGTGTTCTGAAAGGAACATCACCCCACAAGGGTGGTCTGGTCAGAACGTTCCGACGGACGTCCGTCCGTCCGTCGGAACGGACGTCCGTGTCCGTCCGGACAGACGGTCGGAAATTGGTATTACATAGGCTCGCATCTGCTTCGCAGCTCGCCAAAAATGGACAAACACACTTTCCCCTTCCCAATTGTCACATTTGTGGAAGACAGTGTTCTAGTGAAGATTTGCAGTTTGCAGTAACACCATGTAGGCATGCAGAGTCTCTTTTGGGAAGATGTGTGGTTCTGAAAAGAACCACACATCTTCCCAAAAGAGACTTCTACATGGTGGCACCGCAAACCTTTACTAAACCATGCCACCACGTAGTTAGACCAAGTAGTTAGCCCTTGCAAATTGTCTTGCAAAGATGTTCCATCAACAAAACTGAGAATATGACAACATCAACTTGATCGTCAGGCAAGGCAGAGAATGATTTCAAATGACAACAACCCCAGGAAGTGAAGAAGAAACTCTGATCAGATGACAACCAACATTTGCCCAGGAAAGAAAAAAAGGCAACTGATGAACAGAAATCAAATTGTGATTTGTGAATAAAAACTTCCATTTGACTTCATTCCTTATCAGATCAAATTGTATATCAAACATAAGGGAAGTACAGAATTCATTTTGGGGAAAAAGACAAGAAGGATTGATAGAAAAGAAAATCTCCTCTTTTTTTGCTGTTGTCTACATCTACATATACCTTTGTACAAAGTAATATTAAGGGAATAAATGTGTGCTCCGGAGGTTTTTATCACTCTGTTTAATACCACTTAGAGTCTGGGTGCTGATAATTACCCGAGCCGGAGGCGAGGGTAATTATCAGCACCCAGACTCTAAGTGGTATTAAACAGAGTGATAAATACCGACGGAGTACATATTTATTCCCATTCATAAATACCTTTTCGGTAAAAAAAATCATATAATTCGTTCAAAACATCCCGATTTTGTTCAACAAATTCACTTTATGCTTTTTGAATCATCCCTCCTGCAAAATAATGGAGTGTTCAGCTGGCGAGTAAGATGAAAACAACCCTTTTATGGAGATTGACGCGCGCGTATCATGTTCTATGCGATGTCGCGCAGAACGCACCTGGCGCGTTGCGTTTTGAATTTAGAACTATAAAATTCTAACTCCCTGGTAGTGTTGCGCATGCCTACGTGAGGATTGTGAACGTTCAACCAATGAAACGATAAGAGGCACTGGATTTTTAGGAGTCCACATTTTATTGTGACACTGGAAAAGTGTTTAAGACCAGCCAGCCATGTCTTTATCATCCGTTTAATACCGGCCACGTGACGGGCTCTCGACCAATAGGAATGGCTAAACTGTCTGAGGTATTTATGAATAGTGCTTAAAGATGTTTTGAGTGAATGTTACTTTCCGTCATCAGTAACATGACCAAATTGAAACCAACTACCAACTACCTGCTCCTCCGTCCAATCACATCCATATACTGTCATTATCCCCAAAGCCATTTTCAGGATGTATTCATCAAGTTTATTCCCACGTGACCGGTTGAACCAACTACAGGATGAGTCAAAAAGAAAGTGACCGAATTTGAAAAAAATATTTAAAATATTTGGCTCGTTCTATGTTAATAAAAAAACACGGATAAAGTACATCGAATCAGACTTGTATGACTCATGACTCAGACTCGAGTCACTTTGACTTACGACTCGGACTCGGACTCGGGGCTACGGACTCGGACTTGGACTTGAACTGACTTGTGACTCGACGGAAATTACCGCACTGCACACGTGCACATATATAATTCGATCGTTTTCTTTTGTGCAATACATGTACAGGGCGCTCGATGTGGTGCATGCATGGCCGTGGCCTGTTACCGATATACATTGTATTGACTTATAGAAATCAATGTACAGTACTGAAACTTGTACCCCGACATCAACACGCAATACTGCATTGGTGCAAGATTGATAGGGTGAGGTACCAGACTTTTCTTTTCAGACGTCCTGTCTTTCACACGTGTATTGCTGTCGCATCGCGATAACGCGATATGAATAGTCTGCTGATCTGCCCGTTTCGGTAACGTTACATGCATCCACTCCAAAAAATGTCAATTTTGGATATCTTAACTTCAAGAGAAATGCCAATGGAAGATCAAGTGCAGAATGCAAGTTCTGCAGGAAGAAAATAGAGGACAAAACCGGCACTACGTCCAACTTCAATCGCCACCTTTCACGTATATAGAAGTCTAAACAAAGTTATTTGAAACGCCTGAACTTTAAATGCAAAAGTTAGGCCAATACCAATTTTGTCTGAATTGCCTTTATAACTGTTTTTTTTTTTAAATGAACTCCTCATTTCCAGAGAAAATTAGAGAAAAGCTGTGGGGAAAAATGAAATTTACAGCACCTGAAATGTACGTATTTCCATACTATATCAAAGGTGACTCTGAATCTCTGAATTCCCTAAAATGTACGTTTTTTGATACAAAGAGGTGACTCGTGACTCGGACTTGGACTCAACTTTTGTGACTCTCTGACTCGGACTTGACCTGGAGGACTCGGGTCTCGGACTTAGACTCGAAAAATGTTACTCGGACTCGGACTTGGACTTGATGTTTCGTGACTCGAATACAAGTCTGCATCTTATTGACTATTAACCGTGAAAATTTCACTTAAATTGCAAACTCTATTCCCAATTCATGTCTATTTCAATAAAACGATCACAAAACTTGGCTGTCCACCACTTATCAATTACCGTGCTGCGAACTGATAATACATCTCCCAATGAGGATAATGAAACATCAATTGTTTTCCCACCTCCATGAATGAATGAGAACTTGCAAAGGAAAAGATACAAAAATCACCATTGATATTTCGAAAAAAAGAGAGTTAACTTGCTTCTCATATTCAAAACACACAACCTGATAGTAAAAAATTCTCTTGATTTCAATTATTAAAATCTCATTTGTATTTGAATACTTGTGTGTAATCTGTATTTCTCACTTAGCTCATTTAGCTTTCAATATTATCGCATTCCTTGGACAGCTACACAAACAGATTCTTTTTAGTAAAACATGCATAACTTTGGATGGCATGATCAAATTTAGTGATTGGGGTTTTTCAGATGAGTGTAAGAACATGCTCTTTTAAGACATATTTCTTCGGTGTATCTAATTTGATTGCTTCAGTAAAAAAAAAATCTTGAGTGCGGGTCACTTTTTTTTTTAATCACCTTGTATAAACACAATGTGAACATGCATCTCTCATACACGCTAAACTTAATTGTCTTCATTTTCTATCATCCTCTTTTTTTTCTGTCTTTTCTTCTTGTGCGGTAGCCCTCACATTGAGTGGCAGTTATGCCTTGTGAAGGGACGACTTGCATAAAAAAACAATTACATGTACACAATATGCATGTTTAATCTGGAGCCAATCATTAAAACTGAAACAAATTCAATTCTCAGATTTCATGTCAGTGCAAGTAGTGAAACTGACTCACATGCATCTGCTTTGGTTACAGGAACTGATACCACAAGATAGTCACATGCATTAAAATCGGACAGAAATGTTGGGGGGAAAAAAGGAAAAGAACAAGAAACTTTCTGTTTCAATTACACTTTGCTCAAGGTCTTACAATCCCTGTAAGTATAAATCTGGAGTGATCTTGAAATAGAGAAGAACATTCTTCGCTGCATCTGAATAAAATGTAGCACACAGAGATCAAAGCTACACTGGGCATGAACTATGGGTGATGGCTACCAAAACGGCTCCACTCTATCAACTGAAGTACAAAAGCATCTTGAGGACTATTACAAGAGTCAATACAACAGTTACAAAATAATATGGTTAAGTGCTGAAATCATTGCACCAATCGGCCTCTGCTTAAACTTTGTCTTTTTCTTCACAGTCATTCGAGTGAAGTCCATGCATACAATCATCAACATTTACTTATCCAATCTGGCTGTAGCTGACTCGCTCTACCTTATGACTTGCTTCATAACTGCACTGTTATCAACTACAGAGTACAAATTATTGGTCAACAAGGCAACATCAAGTGTCCTATACACGTTCTTTGCTACTTCTAATTTGTTTGTGGTTACCATAGCGGCTGAGAGATTCTCGGCAGTACGCAATCCTTTGACATTCAAGGAAAAAGCCTCTAAATCTCGGGCAGCGAAGATATCAGCAGGACTCTGGGTGCCAACAATTATTGTTGGTGTGATTCTGATTTTCTTACCATTAACAGACGCTGTCTTCAATAAAGTCAACCTTGGGATTCTTTCCATTATTAACATTGCCTCTTTGATAGCAACTCTTGTTTTGTACATCTATGTAGTATGGAAAGTATGCAAGCAATCAGCCCTGTTGCCAAACCGTCCCAAGCGAGCAGGCAAGGTCCTCTGCATGGTTATCATCAACACTGCTGTTTTCTTCATTGTGAACTCACTGTACACTGCAGCTACAATTATGACAATTCATGTACTTGTAGTGGCATCAAAGGTTACTTCAACTGCTCAGATTGTTGCCAATCTGGAACTTGCAGAGACAATACATATTCTGACTACATGCATTGAAATTTTGCTACTGATCAATAGCTCAATCAATTCCCTAGTCTACAGTGTCACAAATGCTGACTTTCGTGAAGCTGTAGTCAAGGCTTTCTCATTCCTGAAACTGTGCTGTCGTTGCTGCCCAAGATGGAATCCCAGCCGACCATCGCAGCCAGAGAAGCAGATCGAGCTTCGTGTGATTCCACAGGCAGAAAATGACCAAGAGCACCGTGCTGCCAGGCCAAGCAGCAGCAAGCCACCAAGCCAAGGGCATGCACAACACACAGCAAGTCAGCAGTCACTGGATAGCTGTCAAGAACAATGTTCCAGGCCAAGCAGCAGCAAGGCACCCATGCACAGTCAGCAGCATGTTCAAGTGCATGTTGAGGTACATGCAGAACCAGCAGGGACCCCAGAGCCCTTGCAAGTTCTCATTAGGAACAATGCTCTAGTCTGACTGACTGCAAGCTATCCATGCAAGGGGAACAGTGTGTACATCCAGAACCAGCAGAGAGCCAGCAGTCACTTGCAAGTACTCAGGAACAATGTCCTGGGCTGACTGGCACCAAGCCATCAGCACAAGGGCAGCAGTATGCACATCCAGAACCAGAAGGGATTTTAATCTTTGGAAAGTTGTCAAGAACAATGTTCACTGGTACCTGAGAAGTGCAAGCTGTCTTTAAGGGCAGCAGTGTGTAGAGTGAGTGCTGCTTTTGAACTTGCTGTGTTCAAAGTGTAGAGCAGATTTAAGGCCGTTTCATACATCTTCTTCATTGGAATGCCAATGAAGTAGATTTGACATCGAGAAACATTAACAGCACATTATGCTGGAGTTGAAATGTGTTTTACTTCAGTGAATTGCCAATACATGTACGCACCATGACATCAGTAATGTGCAGGCCCGCCCAGAGCAGATTGCAACCAACTATCAGTAAAGGGAACAGCTGGTATTCATGCAATGTATGTATGTAAAAGGTTCAGAAATTAACAAATCCTAAATAGTTTAATAATTTGAATCAAACTTTTGTTCGTGTTTAAAGGTAGAGTAGATCATTTGCAGCTATCCAAAAAGTAACTGACAAAATTATTGTTAAAAGGCTTTTGGTTTTAATGGCACTAAACTCCCTGTGAAATCTTCTGGCATGCTGTCATTTTGAAGGAAACAATGAAAGAAAGCCATTTCCAACGATGCATCATGTTAGTTCATGTAGTTGGTTTGTAAATTCGGTGAATCCATGAATATGTGCGCGCAAGCGTTGACACGACGCACAAGCACACTAGGTTGCTATTATTCGTCAGTTCAGTGCATGACATCACGTAGCTGCAATTGACTGAATGAGAATGTGTCCCTGGGGCTGAATTCGGACGCAATACAAAACATGACTCAGCAACTTTTGAATTGAACCTGAGATCCTAGAGTATATGTTTGGAATACTGCATTCACAGAGCTAAAACCTCATCATGTTAGTTGTTAAGCACCCGTTTTTAGATTTTGAGCACTTTTGTAGCTTCAAATGAAAAAAAAAATGCACAAATGACAAATGATCTACCCTTCCTTTTAATGAGCTTGTTTGTTACTTTTTTCAGTGTGACAATGTACATGTATTGGTACTAACATATGGAAACCCTGAAATTGTTCACTGTAAATAAAGGTGTTTTTTTAAAAGTGCCTTTAAACAGATTTGAGGTTTTAATTTTAGGAACTATATTCCAAGACTTTGGATGTTTCAGGCTTTAAAAATTTGTATAAAGTTCCATATTCATGAGCAATAGAGCGATGTCATGAGCTGGAACTTCAGTGTCACTACTGTTTGAGGGGAAAATAATGTTAACAGAAGTGTTCTGATCAAGTTTGATGTGAGATACTTAAATGTACAATGCAATTAATTCTAGGTTCATAAATTATCCAGAAAATCCCAAAGCTGTGAAGTGTAAAATACCTAAATCGACATCACAGCAACATTAGAAACAATTGTGAACATGTGCACCGGCATTGCAAAAAAATGTGCGTAAAATGTGGTCGTTACTTTCATACAAACACAGGGCTGGGATATTTCATGTTTTAGTGAAATTCATTTTACAGCCTTTTGATGCTGTTATTAACAGACCTTGACAAATCCCAAGCATGGAGCACAATACATACATACTCCTAAAAAGGCACAAACTGTATGGTTATTGTTATTGAGGGTTCAATGTTAACCCTAACCGCCCTGAATCCTCCAAAATCCTTTTTGCAAATTGGAGGAATTTGCAGGATTGAGGTTACATGGCAAAAGTGGGTTGCTGATTTCGGAGTACGCACTGTGTCAAGGTCTTGGGCCGGACCTTGTGTTGTTTATACTCAGCCGTGCATAAATTTAGCCCTTGATTATACTTGACATCCTCCGCACTGCTCCAGGATGTCACTGCCTCTGCCTCAGTCTATTGACAGTCATAGCCGGAGGATTTTGCAGGATTCAGGCAGTGGTCACCCCTCCATGGACCATATTCAAGAAATAGCGGAGGAATTTGCAGGATTGAGGCTATATGCTATTTTTCCATGAGGCCAATTTGAGGATTTTGCAGGATTGAGGCTACATCCTAGTAAAAAGGCCTAGGGAGTTAGGGTTAAGGGAGCAAACTCACCACAAATCCAAAATGTCTTGGGAGGTTTTGGATCTCAATCTTGAAGATCTCTGAGGTGAAGTGCTGTTGTGTCCGATAGTGATAAGGATCCGTTATGGCAGCGCCAGTCACTGGTACGTCAGAGGTGCTGGTGGAATGGTTATCTTGTGGGTCAAGACCTGATGCACAAATGAACAGGTTAAAAGACCAACTCCAATTAGAGAAGAAAAAAAGATTAAATTGGTATTTTTTTAAGGTATATTAAAGTCTAATATGGGCAAGTGAGATGTCTATGGCTATTGTCTAGGTCTTCACCCATTATAATTACATGGGAACAATCTGACAATAGCCGTAGCCATAGCTCTAGAAGCCCGTTTCAGACACAGCCTAAGTAACAGACAAACAAAGTTGCAAGTTATGCATTAGGAGCATCTGATTCCAAATACATTACACCAATCTTTGTGCACACATCGTCGCTTTGCTCACGAAGTGACAAAAACCTCGAAAATCTATAATTATTTGATTTTGAGTTTTACTAGCCATTTTATTATAGTTGTCTCAAGGAACAATTTGACCAAGTTTCAAGGCAAAATATTGTTTATTTTCTTAATTATTGTAAACAAACAATTGACAAAAAGCCTGAAATCGGTGATTTTCATTTTTAAGTGTAAAAAAGTGTAACATGTTCTCACTAAGTGACAAAAAGTCACCTCTTGAGCAGGGCCGGAGGAATAATGAATTGGTCTACACGCGGCAGGATGGGAGCATACATGGCGCGCGAACGATGTTGAAAAAGAACAGATGCGCACGCGCTCAACTGTCCTGATGCGCAAAAGTAACAAGTTTGTTGCGTTGAAAAAAAGTACAAATTAGTAAAGCCTCCGCGATTCATGATCCCACGAAGTGACAAAAACGATGTACGAAGTAATCGGCAAAATATGGGAGCCAAAGTATTGATGTTCTCACGAAGTGCAAAAAAGTTTTATTAATGAATTACTGTTTAATTACGAACTGTTTTTAACAAACAACTATGAATTAACAAAGAGCAAATCATATCCTATCGGACAATGCAAAAAAATCCGAATTCTGTTACTGCAAAGTGGTCGAAAATGTCTTTTGAAAAAATGAATAACTTCAAATGCGATTATCTTAGGATGAACTTTTGTCAAATTTTCAGGTTTTTGTCACTTCGTGAGCAAAGCGACGACATGTTGCACAACGTGGAAAATGCTTTTTGAAGACCATTCTATCTTTAGCAAGGAGAAATCCATTGTATAGACTTTTTGCTGCAGAGCACAGATATATAATATACGAGACCATTGTAGGCTTTAGATGTACAGTATGGGATTTAAGTCTGGTGTATTAAAGGTGTCTTCACAGCTACTAGCTGGAAAAAATGCAGTTGATGGTTAAAGTCAGCAATGTGTTCCCCACTTCTGTCAATAGAGCGTGCAAGTTGACCTCAAAAACCTAGGTGATTTTACTAGGTTTATCCAGTCAAGGGCAAAGAATGGGTTCTGAACAAGAAAAAAATCATTCCAATTTACAACATATTAAAAAAAATTTGCAAGTTGATTACTATAGTAAATTGAAGAAATGTGGACCTCCACTTCCGTTCATTGGGTGAATTCAAAGACGGGAGTCTGTGGCTAGACTAGTCAGTGTTTGGTACCAAGATGTTCACATGAAAAGTGAATGTGAACTGGCGAGATTTGCATGCTCTATAATTGTACATAATCTGTGTAGCACCACTAGTCTGTTGTATTACATTATGAGCTCCACGTCTGTATGATGTTTAAATGCAAAGCAATATTCTAATATTTCTTTTAGATGGACTCAAGGGTACTTCGAATTTGGGTAATTGAAAAATCAATGCTGTAAAATATGAATGTCGTTGTAAAGTTAGCATCATACAAGATGTATCTTAATTTGCACAGTATCCGAGGAATTGCTGCTCTTTATATGTTCATTAAAGCTGCTATTTCCTTGTGTAATTTAACACTCTAAACACAAATAATACAGAAATGTACTATCACCAAATCGGTGTTTGAGCTCTTACGTCTTTCTGATACCTAGCAATATTTGCAAAAAAAAAATTGCAGGGCAAACCATGTTTCTAAAAGTTACACACTTTTTATAGGACAAACAAATTTGCGTGTAAAAGCAAGATCAGTGATAAAATAAATAAAAGTGTACACTAGCAACATTTAAACAAACAGTGATTTTCCTGAACTTTTTTATTTAAAACCTAATTCTTGCTTGTTCAAATGTAATTGTTAAAAAATCCCTATTGAGTAAAAGAGCTTGCTGGTCAATGTTGAAAGTACAAACATATACCCTCAATATTCATGCCACAAAAGTAAGCCAACATATTGGTCAGCCAAGGGGATGACAAGGGTTTAAGTCTTTTGTGGCTTGTTTCTTTCTTTTCAATAATTAATTACTGACAGACATATTAGACAATGCACAATATGTACATCTGTCAATCTTTCTGTGTGTTGCATTCTGATTGGTTGGAATTGATCAGCATTAGCTACTAATAGGCCACGCCCCTCGACAGCGGATCCAATCAAACATAAAAGTTGATCTACGTCTTTTGCAAAAAGGAAACTTCAGAGGAAATACTTACCTTTGTAAGCGCCAAGCCGGAAACCAACAGTGTTATCTGTCAATGAAAATAATAAGACATGAAACTGAAACGTTTGCACAATTTATCCAGGGCCAAGTTTCATGTAGACCTGACAAAAATTTAGGGGAATAACCGAGAAAATAAATTCCTGAAACTTTCTGTTGCGGTTTTCATAACAGGCGCATTATGTATATGTGTGCACACTTTATATCCAGGCGGGGGGGGGGGGGGGGGGGGGGGGGGGGGGGGGGGGGGGGGGGGGGGGGGGGGGGGGGGGGGGTGCTTGTGAACGGAGCGGATACATACAAAAAAATGAAGAGGTTGCATAAATAAAAATAAATGCCAGTTTCACTCACCGATGCCATCTACACTCTTGCCGATGGTAAACTCACACTTGTTGCGATAACTCTCTAATACTGGCTGTGAGTGTGCAAACAAACAATGAAAATGAAAGGAACAAATCAGACATCTCCAATGTCAGGAATATTTACCCCACAAAAGATTCACATAATTTATCTAACAAGAAATCCAGGTTGAATGCCATCCCACTGTGGCTCTTCCTGCCAATGAAATGAAGAGTGCACTATTACACACGAGGTTGTGGGTTCGAATCCCACTCCAACAGGCTTGTGAATTTCTTCTTGTGGTAACCACAGCTATTATATGCACAAGATTCAAACTGGCTGACCAATCTTGCTAAGCTCTGCTGTCGAGTTGTTAAGATGTCTGCACTAGTAAGCAGGAGGTCATGGGTTCATATCCCACCCAAGCAAGCTTGCAGAATCTTTGCTCGTAAGCTCTCAGACAGCACTGAATATACAGTGCATTCAAATTTACATTGGTGAAGGTCAAAACCAGGTATTCACATTCACAACTCCCCTACGTAAACAATTAATTAAACTCATTGATTGTGGCACCTGCTATATCAGATTGGGACCAGCCAGCCAACCCCAGCAAGCCTGGTGGTCAAGTAGTTGAGACATCTGCACTAGGAAGCAGGAGATTGTTGGTGCGAGTCTCATTCGAGCAGCTTATGAATTGTGAAGTTTTGGTTTTGTGTTCATTTTTCTGCTTTTTGTTTGTAAACATTTTTTTTACCAACTCCCCCCCCCTTTAATCTTTGGGACTTTTGTGTGTGGAAAGGAAGTTTATTTCAGAAGTTGGCCCAAAGTTTGCTGAGTTTTAATTGATTCTCAAGAAAAATGAGGCACTGATCATTTTCTGGACTTTTAATGAAATTTCAGGGCAGCTGTACATGTAAGTCCATTTGCCAGAAAACTGTGTCTGGAAACAGTTTCTTGTCAACGAAGATCACATTTCCATTCTGGCCCATCTCCATCCCATGTCTTTGGCGGGTAGCTCACCTTTGTTGCTTCAGCCAGGGAGACATCTCCCCAATGTTCCATTGCAGCATCTTGGATAAATTCCTCAGAAACTCCCTGGTGTTGGTCTGTTTGGTGGATAGCTGGTCCTCATATGGCTGGTTCCACAATGGAGTCACTGTGTTGTTTAACCTGTAGATTGGGAAAAGATGTGAAAAGCACATTCAGTATTCCACAGTCTTAACAAATTTTGGAAAAAGTGAATAGCTCAACTGCTCTAAGCCTTTTGCGATATGGCAGACACAATACAAGGGTGTTATTTGATTTGGGTATATTGGGGTAACTTATGCAAAAGACTAGACCCAAACCAAATAGCGCCCTCGTATTGTGTCCACCGTATCTCCAAAGGGTAATGGATTATGTGTGGAACTTGTCATCTTTCTACATACAACCATTCTCCTAACTACAGTTCATAGTTCTGGTAGTGCATGAGCAAATTAAAGATTAAGCTTGAAACAATGAGGGTAATGTGTTCAACTTAGACAGTTTATCAGATAAAATAAGAATCATCTGAAACTGTGAATCGCACACACACTCTACACAGACATGCAACCTTTAATGCTGTACCTTCTAGGACAAAAAACAAGGAAAACTGTCCACATAACAGTTTTACTCAACAAATGCCGGATGAAGTACTAAATTTACTTAAAGTTCCGTGCTATTTTCGAGTTTCATCCCGAAAAACAGATAAAAAGACAACAGACAAAAGTTATTCACTTTTGAATGAAACACCAAACACAAAAAAGCTCACGTTCAGTTATTGAATTATTACTTTACAATTCCAAATTATTGGCTGCCAAACATAATTTCTGTTCTTGCTGGATAGGCTGGTTCCCCCCCCCCCCTACAATCAGTATCAATAATGTACGGACGGAAGCAATCTGTTGGCAAAGCTGGTCATCAGTTTGAGCCAAGAACAAAAAGAAAAGTTCATGGGTACTTTCTTAGTATAACATTTGATAGCAGAAGTCTAAGTACACTTTCAATTTCAAGCAAGAGAGTGTAGGAATTCCATGGTTTCAAATCTTTGTTGAT